CAGGAACGGTCGGTCCATTTGTCGGGGGCGTGCGGCGTGGCGCGCTTTTGATAGGATCCTTATTGTAAGGGCACCTTCCTTGGAAAAGGCATTATGCAGCGCCTGCTCAGGGTCGCGGAATTCCGTTGCCAGGCGTATTAATCCTACTCGTCTTGAGGTTTATCGTGCCAACTGCCTTTAAATCGAATCCCGGATCGGCTCTCGCCCAAGCGAACCGGATCTTCTACGGGTACCTTTATTTGCTACCCAGTTGGTCCTTGAGGATGAACCCTGGCTTTTACATTTGTTGGACACCGGCAGGTCATTGTATAGGCCACATCGCAGTCATTACGATTTTAAATGGGAGTAGAATGTGTGCCGCATCTCGAAGAGCGAGTGAATTGTCGTCATGATTGCTTAGTGGCTAGCGACGCTGCTTATTACAAGCATGACGTGGAAACAAATCTTGCAGTAGCTCTCGCCCCGTCCAACAGAGCCTTATCACCGAATCACAGTAACCACGCCCCGTTCTTCCAGCGAATGCGATCCTGAGGATTCCCCGTTATACGACGTGCCCTCTTTGGGCAACTCAGTCGCTTTACGGTGACGAACTGAGAAGTTGCTGGTGCCCATTCTAGCAACTCCATGATTATCCGGAGCGCAGATGATACGGGTGATGGCGTACTGGCAAGTGACGCTGCTTACGACGCCAACGGACCAGAGGAAAGATCCCAGATCGGCTTCTGCCCTGGCTTACCATGATCTTTTGTCCTTTCGAAATTGGTTTTTTTACTCTCTCATAGACAAAACTCGCATTCGTAAATGTCTTTTCCTCATTTTTCTTCCAGGAATTTGTTTGGAAACACATAAATAATGACGTTCTCCCGGATAAAAAGCGGTAACGTGATTTGCGATGCCTTGCTGAGTGAATAGCCTCTCTCTTTTTTGCCAAGTTCATCGGAAATTCTTCTCCACTACTCGCGTGTCGTCCCTTTCTTCCACCTTTTGTCCACATAATCGAGTATTCCTTCTTCCATGAGGCTTTCTTTCTCAACGTTATTTCTTCTTCCGTGAGACTTTTGTTTCCCAAGCTATTTCGAGCTGCTTTCTTCATTTCTCGCTTAAAAAGGATAATGAATGAAGTGGGTGGCCAACTGTCATCTATCTTCCTCGAATGTGTCGTGTTTTCGACTCCAATTTGGAATCGTGAAGGGTCAATAACTTGTAAACGGGTAATTGGTACCTTTTTTGCCTTCCGCAAAAAAGGTACCAATTACCCGTTTGAGGAGGGTCACGTGAAACAGCGAAGCTTGGCCCTTTTGCGAGAGTACGTAACGCAGAAAAATAGGGGATAGTTGCTGCCAAGGCATCGAATTGTGCAAGCAACATGTTGCGAGCCAGAATATAGGGTTTCTCAAAGGGTGGGGCTCCGGGGTGGGACGCACCATTTGTGAAAAGCTGGGACGTGGATGTCAACAGAAGATCGGTCCATTTAGAAAGATTCTGTTCAATTGTATGCGGGCATCCAACGGCCTTATAAATAACCGGAGTCGACCTAGAATTTGGTCCTAAGTGGAAGGGAGCGCCATTTGAACATCAAACTATTTGAGCAACGTCCTCTTTACCAACGCAGTAGTGTGCAAAACGGCGAAAAACGCCTAACATACTTTACAGCTTTGGTTTGGAGAACTACAAGCCCACTGCCGTTAGTGAAATGGACGTTGTCCCCGCCGTTTGATATCCTGTGAAGGCGGAGAGTGAGCTCTACTACCCTCTAATTCTCTGAGGTGGACAGCGGTTCTTTGATCGCACGCTCACGATTTACTCCAACATGTTCTTCCAACAGTCCATTTACTAGTATTTGTCCCATTAATGCTTTTGAACTTGGCTGCAAAGTCGACGCGAGTGGTCTTTGTAATCAGCCAGCGGTGCGTCAAGGTGATGAGTTTATCCTGGCGAATAGATGTCAAATATAATCTAAGGATCTTCGAAACGTTGACTATGGTCTTAATTTTGCGGACACGACCAAGAAGCCAAGAATCGATGGCACAGTCCCTTCCGAAACTTGCGCAATACTTGAAAAAGCTGCACATTTTTCGTGCTTATGGTAAGCTTTTGTGCGGGGGCTCAGCCTTCTGAGTCACTGTATAGAGCTAATTCCGTTTTGGCATCCAAAAATCAATCCCACAAATTCCAAAAATATGGGTTATGGTAGCCTTGTAGACATTGAAACTAGTCGTCAGGTCACATCGTTGTTGGGGATTCTCCAACGAGGGGGTCGTATTTGGTTTGGTCGGTGGGGGAGGTGGGGTCGTATTTTACCTGGGAAGTTTTTTTAATTGTTGATTCTCCTTGCCTGAGGGAAGCAAAAGGGGGGGGGGTCATATTTGTTAACTGTTGGAAGGGGGAGGGGGCGTACTAGGCTTCTGGCTTTCTGAGGTGAGAGAGTTTGTGAATTTTCGTTGGGTTTTCCTGTTTCATGTGTACTATATGCCTCCCACCCCCCTTGTAGCGTCCCTCAGACCCCCCCCCTCGCTCGACAGCAGAGCTTTTGGGAAAACTAGGAAATCCTCGGGTTTTTGGGAAATTTCAGAAAAACTTGTAGGATTGGGAAAACCGAAGAGAGTGGTAGGTAGGAAGGGGGAGGGGGCGCCCCAACTCCCTAAAAGAAGGGGGGTCGTACAAGACTCGACAAAAATCCCCAACTAATGATATGCCCTGCCGGTCGTTGTTTGAGAAAAATTGCGAACCGCGCACCACGTTCAGATTTGTCATCCACTTTAGTAGGTATGAGACACGGAAATTCAAAAGGAATTGGTTATGTGAGAAAAAAGCCACGCGTTATGGACCGTTTGGCCCAATTTTTGAGCGATACGGTACGTATCGACGTGATAATATGTTGTGCATTATGTTATATTCGTGCAAATCGAGGCTACAGGCACGAATTTTACACGTGGAGGGCGGGTGGTAAAACGAATGAACAATCAATCAATGCTATGTGAGATGGGATTTAGCGATGGTCCCGACTAATGATCGGTTGCCCGTTTTTTTATAATTTCAATCGGACCGAAGCGTTAGTAGTTTCGGTCGCGTCCTTCCACTGCTTCCTTCCTTCTTCATCCTGTGCACGAAATAAATCCGACTGATTGAAGAAATTCCTCCTTTTGGACGTTTTCACAGATTTGTCACAACAAACACTCCGAAACGCTGAGTGGGAACATAGTCTGAAATCTCACCAGTTCTCCATAAGATAATCGAACGGTTACCACGAGTCCGCGGTTATTGACTAACATGTGTTGTTTACTTATTTGTTTGTTTGTTTCTTGCCTCTCCATGGTGCATAATGTGGAAACGTTCAGTAACTTCGTCTTGTCTTCTGGATAGTGCACGCCATGGCGATTTGAAAAGTTAACTGTTTAGCACAACCCCCTCCTACTCAACTCCCTCCCCTCACCTCCTCTCACCCACACCCAATCGCATATGACCCCTAGATGCGCCCTTTTGCACTAGGTGCAGGGCCTCTTGCAATAAGCTCAACGCGAGTCCCTCACCAGCAGCTCGGGTACTACCCCATCTCTAAGGATTCCTCATGTCTTGCTTTGACGCTGGCTCGTAGGACCCTTCCTCAAGGCAACATGCGTTGTTGGTGATTCGCTCGAACAGGGGGTCGTATTTGTTATGCTGGAAGGGGGGGGGCGTAATTTGAGCTGAAGAAAATAGTATATTATTGATAGTTGATTTTGTTCCTGGACGTTGTAAAGAGGCGTCGTATCACTTCGCTGTTGGGAGGGGAAAGTCGTATTTCCGTTCTGACCTTCTAGGAGGTTACCGACTTTCCGTGATTTTTCCTATTTCATGGTGTGCTATGCACCCATCCGCCCCCACCCCCACCCTCCGTTCGACCGCAAAAATTTTGGAGAAGTAGAAAGATTTCCGGGACATACTGGAAAAAACTGTAGGAGTTGGAGAAAATTTAAGAAATGCTAGAATGGTATTCGAGCTTATCAAATGGTATTAATTTTCCTCGGCGGTTTGACCGTTTTTGCAATTGCTATGTATTCTCCCCCGTTCGCTCGACAGCTGAATGAAGAGGGAACGCAGGGTTGTACCCAATCCTAAAAAAAGTGGCCAGACGGACATCAAACCGAAGTCCCCAACTATTGTGCCGCTCTCCTCTCATCGCCAATGTCCAATGTAACAGCCCCTGGATGCGCCGCTTTTTACATGATGCGGACCCCTCTCATGTTCACCAAACCAACGCGATTGCCTCCCAGGCAGCTCGAGCACAATTCCTTCATTGAGGATTCCTTATACATACCCAGTCCTGCTTCTGAAGCTGGCTTGCAGGACATTGTAGAGTATAAGTTGCTGTGAATTTTTCACAGACGCACCATTTCAGCAAGCGCCAGGCTTTTCCTCCCTTTGCACTAGTTTGAGGATCCTTCCCGACCCTACGGCGCATTTTGGCAAGGGGGGGGGCATTCTGCACTCTCGCCACTTCCCATCGACGTGTCGACCTGTCTAGACAGCCTCTTCTCGAGTTGACAGGTTTTACCATGATGGCTAGACGAGCTTGCTCCAGCTTCACAAGAGTTCACAGGTTTCGCCAGAGTGAGACTTGTAAACCGGAACTAGGGAAGCAATGATTGTACAAAATACCCCCCCCCCCCGTCGCCCAACTGCGCCTGACCCTATTTCCACGCCGTAAGCATCTCTACCTCGTGTCCCCCTCGCTCTTACATTTTCTGATTATGCAGTTGTTTTCATTCTACTGTGGACCAGGAGATCTGACAATGAGATGTGCCCACCCATGCGGCATTTCCTAGCCACTTAGCCTGGCTCATTGGAAAAAATTCGCATCGAATCAGAGGGGTCCTCAATGCTGATGTTCTGCACACGACGCCATTTTCGTTGCTTTACCGCAGCTCGGATCTCCTAACATCCACCATTTTCAACATGAACGTTCTGTGTCGAATTAAATTAGGGAATTTTTTTCAAAATTATCCTTTTTCTTACAGGTAATGTCGTCGTCACCGGCGTCAGCCTCAACTACGCCGAAGCCTCTGCATAAATACGGAGCATTCGATATGGATGAAAATGCATTTCTTCGTGCTCTCGTGGTTATTGGAGGAATCCTCTTTCTCGTAGCTGTCTATTGTCTCATCAAATGTTGCCGGTGGGTTTCCAGATATTTGTCTCATGAAAGAAACTAATAAAATGAGGACGAGGGCTGAGTGCCGCACCGGCCGGGTACATCGTCCTCAAAGCAGTGGGCGCCATCGCAGGACGAACGGGTATTGCCGATGTGGTTGGTGGAAGGGCTACGAGAGCCAGCCACCAGAGCACGTCCAGTCGCTGGGGACAATTTGTGGAGTACGCCCCCTCCTCCCCCTCCTGGTAGGGACTTCCCAGCGCACGACGTCCCTGCTGACCACACCACCCCAACGCGTCGGACGGTTTGGTCAAACACCTTCCTTCAGCCCTTCCACTAATGACGCCTCCACAGGACACGTCGTACGCTGGGGAATCCCTAGGGAGGGAGGTCGGGTCTTACTTCTTAGGGAAAATGGTAAATTTTGTTGAGTTTTTTCGGTTTTTTCCCCATTTCACTGGCGCTCTATATCCCCTTCCCCCAGCGGTGTTTTTTTTCGGACAAAACTGAAGAAGTTCCTTGAGAACGTGATCAGACACTGAGGGAGCGGTTCAGGAAGCGTATGTTGAGTGAGGATGATTGAAGGGGTGGCTGGCCCTGGAAGTCGCAATCTTACTTTTTCCCCAGCGTTAGCATGTGCCATGCACCGGCAGCGAGCGGTCTGCTTCCAGCAATCGTGCCCACTGCCTCTGAGGAATCTCGAACTAACGGCGTCGGGTGAGTGTGGATCTTCACATGCCGTTTTGCGGGGGGGGCGGAGGTCGGGGAGGGAGAGAATTTCTCTGAAATATGAATATCAGGCTTCCACGGAGTTTGTATAACAACGTTCTTTTTGTCCTCAGTGGCCACCCGCTACATGTAACTGACCTTCAGGAGAAGGACCTATTGAGGTACGTGGTCATGATTCTTTGGAGGCGGGCGTTTTTTGCGAACATTCTGGTAGGAAGGCCTGCAAGAAGGGCCTTTGAGTCATCTCATCTCAGCCCTTCCACCAGTGACGGTGGCGACCTCATTTGGCAATCGTGCCCATGCCTTCAACGGAAAGTCCAGCTCTAAATGACAATAAAATACACGTTCAGGTCCAATTCAAGCCGGAGTCGAGTACGAAAATATGACCTTGTGACGGCTAGAGACTTACAGCGGACGGCGCTCGCCGTCGATTCCGATTCTGAGGACGATCTATTCGAGCCGCCTTCATCTGATCGGCAAAAGCTTGTTCCTGCCAGCTCTTCTTAGTAATTCGGAAGCACAGATACATATCCATAACACATTTCAGTGTATATCGTTTTAAGATGAGTGATTTCTCAGCGAGACGGAGTGTTGTCTTCACAAGCGGTGAAGACGACACTAATTCATAGACGTTGCTCTGCACTCAAAATTGCGCGACAATTCACCGCTCGTAGGCCGCCGCGCACTTTTGTCGCGCGCGGTGAGCGGCGTGTGGCTGGAACAAACGTCACTAGGTTGTTTTCCGCTTAATAAGGCAGTACTTTGCTACGAAATCAAATGAAACATACTGGTATGTCACCTGGACCCACGAAAAAATTAGCCTGCGAAGTCAAGCCGGCGGATTCATTTGTGCTCTCTGCTTTTAACTTTCTTCCTGTTACTTGATATATACTTGTTCCAATAGCTCATCAAGTAGTGCATATGGCGGCAATCATTCGCAATTCATGAACTGTCACCTCGCATTTGTTGAATCAATTTGTGAAGCCGTTATTCGTTGTAAATAATCGATGCTTTTTTGTTTCTTTTTGGCCATTCGCTTTTAATTTGGTCACTATTGACATTTCCGATGACGTTATGTGCAATGTTGTGCCATATACGGTACGGTTTGTTCACGATCTCGGTACAGAAAGAATTTATTCGTTTTATAATAAAACTTTCTCATACAAAGTAGTTACGCCACTCTGTTCGAGTAGAATCTTAGGTTTAGGAGGGGGAGGGTGTTGGCATCGGGTGTATACTCGACCACTTGACATGTTGTGCATTCTGGCCCGGACGACATCAGTGGGCATGGAAGGAGCGTGCCACGCTGCGGCGTTCTCTACTTCTGGTTGTTTCTCATAGGACGCGGCGGCAGTTGGCAAGAAAACCCTATGGGGGCTCCTTCCACGTCCTGCAGACGCGCACCGCCGGGTTGCGACTATCAACCTGACTGCTGGTTGTCCATTTTAAAAAACTCCTCTTTTCAAAACTTGTCAGCAAAAGCTGGTGCAGAGTTATAGTCAAAAGTTGACCCTGGGAACGCGAACCGGCCCCTACTATGCTTTCGCGGGGGCGAAAAGCGTCTCCATTAACCATCCACGTCGCGTGTTCTGCTCGCACAGCTAATGGTTTCGCCATTTCATGAATCAGAAGCGCTCTACGTTCGAGCGTGATGAGTGGTCGGTCCATACCGGGCCCATTCGGGGGTAACATTTTTGCGCATAACAGCTATCTTGTTAACTATTGTAACTCGAATAGCGGTGTTAAACAGCAGTATATAACACTAAGGTGGTGGCAGAGTCTCTAAAAGATTTCTAGGCGTGAAATTGTACAGTACAACATCACAACGAGTTTTCAGGTCACGCAGTTCCGCTTTTTAGGGGAATGGTGTTGCTGGTGTGTGACGGCTCATAAAAACGGGCTATGGGAAAACATGTTTTCCTTTGTCCCTGCTAGTTATAGTCAGTTAACAGGTTACTTAAAGTTACTGTTCAAAGCTGAAGTATCAATACACTGAAGGCCGTTTTAGTTGGGGAATTTCTCAAGGTTAGGCTGGGAACACTCTGCAAGAGCAGAAGCAAGTTTTGCAAGTTTCTATCTGGGCAACAAGCAAGGCGAATTGCATGTCCCATGAATAAAGTTTGGAGGTACTGTCCTTGTTTCTGGCCGCCTTTTGTTGAATGCGACGTATACTTCCTGCGGCGTTGTGAGATAGGGACTGGGATAATATCTTTGGCATGTAGCCGTTACAGATTCTACTTCTATCACTCGAAAGTGCTAGGCAACGACTATAGCATGTGATGGATGGGAAACAGGCGCCTACAGCGCAGCGAGTTCGTTGTGGGGTTTGGCCACAGCGCAAATCGATTTCCCATCAATTGATGTCTGTCGTCGCTTGCCCCTACCCCACTTACACGACTTTAATAGTCGGTTGGAGAACAGGTGCCTAGCCCCTGATACCTCGCATCTATATAATGAGAGCCACGAAACCTACGAATCGCCTCATTTGGCGCGGTAAACGGAAAACTTGAGTCAGGATAGTAAATACGAAAAGGTGGTTGCAGGATGCTCACCCACTGCTGCCGTGGCACTACGGAGACAGCAACCAAATCTTCTGAATTGCTGCAGCAGAGACGAAGCTGCCACTTCAATTAAGGATAAAAATTACAAAGTCAGAAGACAATGACTTAGGCTCCGGTTTACTGTTTGATTCTACATTCATATCCAGGTCGTCTAAGCCGAGCTGGAATTCAATTCCACTCCTGTGTATTATTTCGCGAGCGGTTCATTGGTTAAATAATTCCGTCGAAAAATGCTGTTTTGTCTGGGCGATAGAGATGAGATCAAGCGTGTGTGTTTTCTAGTATTTTCCCAGACTGTATCGAGGGAGAAGAGGTGGTGGATTAGTTTTCTTTCTGCCGCCACGAAAGTCTGTTGGTGTTTCGAGGTAAGGGGGGGCAAGAATAGAGACTTCCGACCGAGTCAGCGCTATCAGCAAGTCTTGGTCAGGCCAAGGCAGAAGGACGTGGATACGAGTATTCTGTAGGATTCGTAGAGTCAGGAGGAAGATACCCGCAGAAATATTCCTCGATTAAGCCAGCGAACATGGTCCGTCCTGCACGCTTCATGTCCCCCAAAGATATGAAGTCATTTCAGTCCCAGTCTGACTGGAGAAGACCTTAGGAATTCATGTCACTCCGTGCTACTGCCGCTTGGCGGTCGTGGCCGCCAGGCGCGGAGTAGACGGAAGGTGACATGAATAAGCTTTAGACGCTGCTTTTTGCGGACTGCGGACACTTCTAGAGCGGGAGTCACCCATGGTAGACTACCTGGAGACCAGTACTACTCAATCTGAAGACCCGACATTCGAAGCTCGACAACGGTATAGAACATCATCTTCAACACATGTCGCCAAGGGCGCAAGTAGTGGTATGGACCGGATGTGGCCGTGGATATTGGAGAGAAAGTTTATTTTCTTCGCGGACCCGCTGAAATGAACCGTGACGATATACATACGACACTGAGGAAATAATCTGCAGTTATTGTACGTCGTCCATACACATACTTTGGAAAACTTCGTATCTACAGGTTGGGTGCCACCACATGAACGAAGGGCGGTTGCAGAACCTCGCCTACTTGGAATGAAGACTCTGAGTATGAATATTAAGTAGGTCACCTGACTGAATCCGCTCATTACTGCGTTCGGGCTGGAGTTCAATAGGGTGGTCTCCTACAGTTGGCGGGAAATCACTATCTCGCTAATGCTCAAGCACAATTGCGGTTCGCGTGGCAGAATCTCTCGAATGACTCGTCAGAAGGCGTGTGGCGGACTAGCATGATAGTATTTATAATAAAATGCTGTTTAATATGGTGGTAGAAAAGCCCGATCAGAATTTAATAATGTGTAACTTATAAAGCCTCGAAGGTCAAGGAGAAATTGATCCTTTATTTGCCGTCCTCTGTATAGAGGCGGGTTCAGTTCTATCGCCTCTTACCAAATTAGGGTCCTAATGCTTAGGCGAATATAAATGCTCATCGTGCCGACTGTGCCGACGTTTTTATTGGCAGTGCCTGCCTGCAAGGATGTAGAGGGCGAGCCAACTTTCAAATGATAAAGAAGTCTGGAGGTCAGAATCCCTTCTGTGATCGAATATCAGGAACTCGCAATTACAGCGAACCTCGACGAACAGATGGACTGCCTGCACACATAATTCATGTTCTTTGTGCCTCTGAGAGAAGAGCGAAAAGATACCGTGATACTTCAAGGAACACCCTGGTAACTTTCCTCGTTTATACTTACCTGAAGAAGTACCATCCCTCCCTAAAAACGTTCGTTCGAGTGCACTTGGCTCGCGACGGGAAATAAAAATGCTGCAGGTGCCCATTGAAAGAAATCGGCGGTCAATGGGATTGCAGGTGATGCGGGTAAAAAACGCGATGCTATTATAGCAAGAGCTCTTCAAGGTCTGGAGTCCGCGGAAACCCTCAGTGGGTTAATGGGCCCATTCATCTCAGGTGGAGGTCCTTATTAAGTGCTAGATCGGAGTAGTATAGTATTCTTATTAACATATTGGATACACCTAAGTAGCACGGAGTGCATTGCCTCCTCACCCTATGGATTTTCGCTGGTTTTCCTGATGTTCCGTAGAAAACCTTGAGATGGGGACCCATACGGCTCAGATAAGGCAACCCTTAGTTTCAGAGGCACGCTTCTGCTTCTGCGGACGATAGCGCGGTTGAAACGTTTAGTCCCCAGTAAACTAGCACGTGCCAGCTTCCGCGAAAGGCAAAAAGTTTCAGAATTACCACCTCTGTTGCTGCTTGATGAAGAGAGTAGTTGAAAAGCTCTTAATTCCATGACCTCGTTTCTACACGGGGCAATTGCAGAGGTGTCGAGCGTTACCTCCCAGACGCGGCACCGAGTACGAGCTGTTTTGGGAGACAGAGCCGACACGCAGCGCCGTAGCCATATCAACATGGCAGTGGCGCTGCGCTTCGACTCTATGGTCCAGGTCAACTCGTACCACGATGCCGCGAATGGGAAGGAACACCTCCACACCCACATACTGAGATCTTAACTTTAAAGGTACTGCACACTCACCCCGAGGACCCCGATTCTTGCCATATAAGGGCTAAACGCGTAGCGCAGCTGCAGTTTGCCGCTCAAAGGAAGACGGGAACGCGGTTGGAGGGCAGTGTTACCCAGTGCCATTACTGGACTCTCGCCTACCTGCCCGCCCTGCCGGGGTTACATGACATCTTGAACTTTTGTGCATGGTCGTTACGAAACCCTGTGACGCAGACGGATAGAGGGCTGCCAAAGCATCGAAACGTGCAAAAAACGTATGGCGAGCCAGGAAACGGGATTTTTCAAGGGGAGGGGACTCCGGGGTGGGTGAGCTACTTATAGTCGGTGAAAAGCTGGAGTGAGCGAAGTCACAACGGCCATAGAGTGCCATGCGGACGAGAGAGTGCAGAGAAAAAGAGAAGATCGACGCGTTCAAAGGGATTGAGTTCAAGTTGTCCGTAGACCGCCCTGCCGCACTGAAAGCCACACGCCTAACCATAGCGCTCAGAAATCACGTGTCGTACTTTGTGTCTTCACATGAACAACATTTATGTACATTTATTACAGTACACAGTACGGTAATAGTAATCTACACGGGTATCTAAAGCACTCAATTGCACCGAAACAAATGAATATAAAACCCTACTTCAGGATTCTAAACGTTAGATATATTCGAGAAGAAATGATTGCAAGTCAAACACAGAGAGAAGTGCCGATATACAGTCGTTTTCAATGAAGTCAGTCGGGGCGTGTCAGCGGGGCGCGGAGTTTGGCGCTGCACCAGCTCGTTTTCCAACGATTATTGTGGTGTTCGATGGGAAAGGAATGAGTGATGGAAAACGGGCTCGCGCCGACCTAAACCCCATGCCCTGCAGAAGCCTCGGACTGACTTCAGTGATAACCGCTGTGGTTCTGCAGCGTATTGTAGACCAAAAAGGACTGCCAGTACCGCTCTGTGCTATGAAACGTAAAGAAATTATATGTGTGAAAATCAACGTCAATCACATCTGAAGAACAATAAGTCAGCCAGGTAAAAAGTGTTAACCGGGGATAAGTTTGTAGATCAAACGAATCGATTTCACTGAGAAACCGATGAGATCTGGGACGATAGAATGAGGATATGAGCCCGTAATGAATAGGAAACTGGGGAAGGCTTCGCTGTAGGAGGGTCCTGCTAGCCAAAAGGAAACTTCCGAAAGGGCTTGATCTCCTTCAGCCTCTTCGAAAGTTTCCTTTTGGTCAGCAGGAGTCCCCTTAGGAAGGTTCGGCCTTGCCCATTTTCCGAGAGTGTAGGCAAAATGGTAGGTACATCACTACACCTAAACGACCGGTTCAAGGAGTTACTCATTAGTCATGACGTTTCCGATGCCACAGTTGTGTGGTGATCATCGTCGTCGTCCCCGTTTCCCCAGTTACAGGGTCAGTTGGTCCGTTGACGTGGAGGACAGTTGGTCCGTTGACGTGAACAGGGACATTTGGTCCGTTAACATGGCCATTGGTGAGTATTGGGGTCTCTGTGGGTTCCGTTCCATTCGGAAGCTGGCCGTTAACAAGCGTCGTCGTTTTCTCGACACTTTCGGTAACTGATAGAGTCACAGGCTGCCCGTCCGTCTTCGCATTCCGAATTCAGTGATTCAGTGATATTATTAGTCTGTGAAACGCTTTTCGCAACACCATTTCGAGGCGCTCCATTAGCCATCAGTGACGTCATCTGAAACCAGAACCATTTTGGCACGATGAAATTGATAGACAAAAAATGAATTTAATATTTTGATACGCACAACCAAGAGGCTGAAGCTTTGTACCGAATGACAAAACTCCTACAAAAGGTCCTTTCCTTCGAAGCTGCATTCCGAGTGGGCGGATAATCTTTGCCATTATGTCCTCTCATTGACGCATCCCTACTCTTTCCCATACTGAAGGGGCACATCAATGAGGAAGCGCAATGA